GGGAAAGAGAGAGAGATAGAAAGAGAGAGAGAAAGTGAGAAAGCAAGCTGCCAGGACTCGAACTGTAGTCCGCCATGTGGGAAACCAGCGCCATTAACCACCATGCAGTCTCCCCTATAGATATTTAAATTGTTCCCAGTTATAGACAATGAAACTAACATTCTGGTTATTATGGACCTAACTGTGTCCCCTAAACCAATATGGCTAGTGTCCTTTTAAGAAAAGCTTAGGGAAAAAAGAAAGGAAGAAAGAAAGGAAGAAAGTTAGGAAGGAAGGAGAAAGAAAAAGAAAGAAAGAAAGAAAGAAAGAAAGAAAGAAAGAAAGAAAGAAAGAGAGAGAGAGAGAAAGAAAGAAAGAGAGAAAGAAAGAAGAGAAGAAGAAAAGAAAAGGAAAGAAAAGAAAAGAAAAGGAAAGAGAAAAGAGAAGAGAAGAGAAGGAAAGGAAAAGAAAAAAGAAAAGAAAAGAAAAGAAAAGAAAAGAAAAGAAAAGAAAAGAAAAGAAAAGAAAAGAAAAGAAAAGAAAAAAGAAAAGAACAGAACAGAACAGAACAGAACAGAACAGATCAGGACACACACACAGAGGAAAGACAGGGAACAACTTTTCCCAGCACAGGGAAAAGACAGTCATCTACAAGCAAAGGAGAGAGGCCTAGAAGAAACCCGCTCTGCCATGCCTCGATCTCAGACTTCCAACCTCCAGAAGCAGGAGAAAATAAATTGCTGTGGTTGAAACCACCCAGTCTGTGCTATTCTGTTAACAGCAGTCCCAGCAAACTGATACAAGGAGGGGAGGGCTTCTAAAAAGACTCATGGAAAATGTGTATTCTGAGAAAAAAACTATGCATGGGTTTCAAACTTTTTTGTAACAAAATGAAATTACACTTTTAATTCTATTTTTCTACAAACTCGTTGAGCTACTCTCATACATGGATCTTAGGATCTTTTCAAAAACATCAAAGAGAAGAAAATACCGAAGGCATCCTCTGTCTCTCTCTTAATCCCTTCCAGAGCTCTCCCACGCACACTACAACCTTTTTGGACATTTCTAGCAATAAAAAGGTTTTCAAAGAGCCAGACGGTGGCACCTCAGTAATGTAACAATCTGTAGGGCTGCCCCACATGGGAAAGTTCTGAGTCTGTGTCTGGAGACCTCCCTGAATCTGCCTCCCTCTGCACACACACGCTCACGATCTGGGGTGGGCTGGGGCTGGGGGTGGGTCATGGCATGAAGATCCACCTGTTGGGGAATGCTTATCTCTCACTCATGGAAGAAGGAAATTTAGGGGGAAAAATACTAAAATTAAAACATTGGGTCGTTGGAAATGTCAGTTTTGCATAGAAAATATGTTATGACTTTTCCAACGACCCAATACGATTTCAGGGTTGACACTCAATTCCTCTGTAGATCTTAAGAAATTAACACTTAATGAACTAGATTTGGCTTTGGAATCCACTCCTTTTATTTATGATCCAGTCTTCTATTCCACATAACACACATGCTTAGTGCAGGTGTTTGTCCTAACCAATCATCTACTCGTCGTGGAGAATACCTGGTCTGACCAGGTGAGCAGCCTGGTTTCTTTATTCGTTTTGTGCCTAAGGTTGGTAGGACCCCACTCATGTGGTTGTGGGTGGACAAAACTGTCAGCCAGGGGGCGCTGTCCTTGGAGCGACTGCAGTGTGTTCAAGTGGCTGGGAGGACAGAGTACTGCTGATCTGTAGTCAAAGGCTCACAAATGAGCGTGGGGGCCTGAGCTAGGCCAGCTGAGAAAGGGAATCACAGGTTATTCCTGCCTCACTCCTCCCAGACTACGATCTCTGATGGAGGGGAGGACACTGGGCCAAGCAATATGACGAGGTTTCTAATGCTGCCTCCAGACAAATCAAATCAAATCTATTTTTCTAGATGCTATCAAACATAATAGAGGGAAGAGCAAAGTCAAGGTAAGAACAGAAGAGGCGGAAGGAAGCCAGTCACAAACCTCGAAGGGACTGGCCTAGCTTAAAAATCCCTTCTCTGAGTCAGGGCCCCCTTTTGTTGCTAAGCAACCGAGCCTGAACAAACAGGCTCGTGGGGCCTCCCCCTTCTGGTCCCCATTTCTGAAGTCAGTTACTGGGAGAAAAATGGTCTTGTATGGTGGCTTCTCCAGCAGGGAGCTACCCCCTCTCCCCCAGGGGCCAGGAAGAGAGGAGAAGGTGATGCAAGTCTAGAGAACACTAGACTCCTTCCCCGGGCCCCTCCTGGGATGCCCAATCTGGGATGCCCATCCCAGGACAAAGCCTGGCCAGGCAGGTTTGAAGAACCTGTAGGCCCCCACTGAGGCCATCCACACGACAGTCGTTCTGCCTCCCATGCACATTCAAGCAAAACCACCATAAGATCAACTGGTGTGTTTGTACACAAAGAAGTCACACTTGAACAGATGGTGCCTCAGACTCAGACCCTGGGACTCGATGGGAATTCGAATGTCTGGGGTGCGGGTGTGTAGGGGTGAGGCCTGCTGGGTATCATGCAGGTAAATGTGACATCTGCTTCTCACCCATATCCATCTTTCCCAAGATGTTTGCCAAATTCTTATTTCGAGCTGAAAATGCCTAACAGCAAGGAAAACAGCCTCCCTTCTGTGTTGGCCATGTTTTGGTACTGAGACTCAGATCCCCTTAGGAAATAAATATTTTGAATTTAAAAAAATGTCATTTTCAAAACCCCCTTTCAACAGTGTGTAATTGGCTCTCTCTTCTCCCTCCTAAGTTCGGAGGTTTTCCAGTGCTGCCCTCCCCACATGCCTCCACCCTACTGAGCGTGGGGGAGGATCTATATATGTTTTTTAGGGCAACCACTGTCGTAAAGAATGGAGCTCTTTCCTCTATAGTCCAGCTGTACAATGGCACTCGCAAAGACCTCCTGAATAGATAAAGTGTAAGAGCGAAAGGAAAATTCTATTAACACTTTACAGAATACAACATCTGAGAAGTAGCTAGAGAGGAAAGAGAAAGAAAAAGAAAAAAATCAATATGGATAAGTCCCAGTGCTTGGGGGGAGAAAACTTTTCAGCAATTGCAAAACACTTATTAATTCAAAGAAGCCATCAATGCGATGGAAATCTGGCAGAACAGCAAGAGCTGAAACTAGAAGAATTTGAATATACAAAGACTGAATAGAATGAAAAACACAGCCTCACATACGGGACTGTTTCTCACGGGTCTATGTGAATCAAACAGAAGCGGCTTGTGTGAGTCTCTCTATGAAGGCGAAATAAGGGGCACAGTTAAGGTAACTGGTAACACCAGAGCCAGCAAACTGGTCACTCTCTTCTCTCAGTGTCTCTCTGCTTGCACGCACACACACATGCACACGTGCACACACGTACACACACAAACTCAGGTAAATCAGTTGGCTTTGCAGACATCAACACGGGCCAGACCTCATTTAAAGTGCTAGAACACAAAGGGCTAGGGAAGCTGAAAACAGTTTTTCTTTTTCTTTTTTCTTTCTTTCTTTTTATTTTTTTAAAAGTTTTTGCCTTAGGGTGTGTGTACTGGCAGGAGAGAGACAGAGAAAGGGGAAGTGAGAAATTACTCCCCAAGGGGGATGGCCACACAGCAAATCTTTGTCCATTCTCCTTGCTCCATTCTCCTCTCGGAATTTTGGACCTGCATGTACATATGGCCAGTGTGATTTTCAAGCCACTGGGTCTGCAACTTCAACCCCACTCAGCCATGTAGGAATCCAGTACCTTAACTGCCATGCCATCTGCTGGCCTGAAAAGTTTTTCTTGACTTGGGGTAGAAAACACTATTAAGCCTTATTATATACCTCATCAAGGAATGCCACCCTCTTCCTATGATTAACCCTCCGTATTTATTTTGTCTTGACAATGCCCTCATCACCTTACAAATGTCTTTGTACTGGAGGTGGACACTTGCAGGCCTGGTGGTCTCTTCCCTGAGGACGAGGAGGGACAGGAGGTGTCTATCTGAGTCTCAGCATGCTTTGTCCCACGTCCTGGCCAAGCCTGGTCTGTTTTGGGAGTTTACTTTAACCTCGAGAAGTGCCTTGTAATAACTGGAGACAGGTTTAAAATGCAGCTCTGGCATCCTTAATGGTGTATCTTTGTGAACGACAAAGCAATGTGATCAGAAGGCTGTGTGCATGTTTTTCTGACTACTGCAAGGTTGAGACTACGCTGTGACATCCTCGCAAGTGCGTAAGAGTTAACAAAGGGGGAGCTACGTTATCATCTGATGGTCACTGGTATTGGGGCAGGGCTTCTCAAACACTATCCACATCAGGGTCACCTGGAGGGTTTGACCTCTCCTGGGCTCTCCCCCCCCCCCCGCCCCCACTCCCCAGTCTGACTCTGTAGTATTTGCATTTCTAACAGGCTCCCAGGTGATGCGGAAGCAGCTGCTGGCCCATGGACTGCTCTTCCATGTGCTACCATAAGGGATCAGAAACAAGAGCAAAGGTTAACGACACAGGAAAGAAGTGGCTCCTTCCTGTGTAACAAACACGCAGGACTC